CAATACATAGTATTATCTGTGGTCTTGCTGTATATGGCCTTCAGTGTGTTGAGGTGCATTCTTTTCATGGATAATTTGGTCATGAAAGGATGTTTAAACTTGCAAAGCTATATCCTACATTTCTTGAGATGCTCACATGGGTTTTGTTCTTTATTTTTTTAATGCAGTGTATAATCTTTATCATTGTGCTGTTATTGTTCAGACATTTTTTGTCCCTAAAACAAAACCCACCTGATCATAGTGACTGATCCTTTTTGAGATAGTGATGAAATCCACTTCCTCAAGAACTTGCTGAGGATTTTTTTTCTCACAGGAATATCAGACTGTAATTTTCTTTTCTTGCAATGTCCCTCAGTGGCTTTGGTTCTGGGTTAATGTGGGCCTTATAAAAGATAAAAAAATAAATAGCCAGGCATGGTGGCACACATCTTTAATCTCAACACTTGGGAGGCAGAGGTAGGCAGACTTCTATGAGTTCAAGACCAGCCTGGTCTACAGAGCAAGTTCTAGGACAGTCAGGGCTATATAGAGAGAGCCTGTCTCAAAAATATAAATAGTGTTTATAAGTATTCATACACACACCCTAAATGAATAGATGACAGATACATAGATAGATACATAGATAAATTGATAGATGATAGATAGATAGATAGATAGATAGATAGATAGATAGATAGATAGATAATAGATAAATAGCATAGCTCACATCTCAAAGGGAATTAGAGATAGTTGATTCTGGACCTAAATATTAGTCACATCAGCCTGGGGACATAGATCTGGGTTACTCCAAATACCACACATATTCCAAGGTGGTAATGACTTTATGAAGGTTTCATAGTAAAAGAACAAAGAAAGTCATAAATCAAAGTATTTTTGAAATTTATGGTGGCAACATCAAGCAGATATGTTACAGTAAAGTGGGGAATCTCTGTGACGGGCCCCAGATGTTTTCTGATGAAATATTTAGCTTTTGAGCTGGTTCAGGTGAGGGATCTGTTTACCCATTCCCAAAAGGATTTTACTGGACAATCCTAATGATGTTAGGTCAAATGCAGAGGTGGATGATAAATGGCAATTACAGCAACCACAGATAGCTCAGGGTAATTTTGTTGTGCACTGTGACTTTCCAGCTCTCTGCGATCACAGTTCTGACCAGTCAGCCCAGCCTGCAGCATCCTTAACTCAGGTGATGACTGGTTTTTTTTAGTTTTAGTTTGTTTTTGTTTTCTGGAAACTTCCCTTTATGAATGTTTCTACTCTGTTTTGATTTTGGAGAAGTTTGAGGGTGATTGGCACTAGTTAGTGGTAGAATCCAGCTGTGCAGACATCCAACAGAACCTGTTGAAGTCTCCTTCCATTTTGGTATTGAGCCCATCTCTCCTCTCAGGCCTATTGATCTGCTATTATATATGTGTAAGTTGCATATCTTCCTGTTATATATAATATGCCCTTTCCTCTAGGGATACATGCTAATCACAGGGTCATTTTGGAGTAGAGATTAACTTGATCAGGAACCATGACAATGAAATAAGAGGACAGAAAGATAGCTAGACCTACAGTAATTATAGATAGTGGAACGGTCGATCAGAAGGAGGAGGGGAGGACCACAGGATCCTCCTCTCCTGTGCTCTGGCCACTTCTCCTCTCTGCTTCCTCCCAGTTGTGAGCGATCTCCGGAGGTGCTCCACTATGGAGGAGTGGGAGGATAACCACACAGAGGACTCTGAGGTGCAGCTCCCACGGGTCATCACCCCAAACAGTGGGGCTGTGCTGATGCCGCAGCGTGGGATCCGCCATTTCCAGTAAAGGAGTCTTTCACCCACGCTGTCGCCCAACACAGTAAACTCATTGGTTTTCCCCAAGTTCCTGATGGAATCCCTGCTTTGGTTTGTCTTTGGTTCCCTTTCTGGGGTGAGATGTTTATTACTGTCTACACAGCGCTTCTTGGTGCTTTGCCCTTTTTTCCGCTATGTGATTGACTTCTTGTCTCTGACCCCTTTTGCCTTCAGGTCCCTGTGGCTAAGCACCACTGACCCTGCGCTCTCCTGGGTTCGTTTGCAGGAAATGTCTGTTCCCACCCCTTCCTCCTCCATCGCTGTGTACTCACTCTCGTAAGTGAAGTGAATCTCACAAACAGCATATAGTTGGCTCCTTTTGAAACCCAGTCAGCCAGTCTATTATTTTTTTTTAGATTGAATGCAGTCCATTGACGTTGAAGGTAATTATTGAAAAGTAAGAACACAATACTGCAATTTTGTCCACTGTTTCCTGGTGGGTGTGTGAGTACTTTCTTCCTTGTTTGTCTCCATTTGTGCTTTGATGGCTTTCTGAAATACTATGCTTTCAATCATGCTTAGCTTTTGTGAATATACTAAAGGTTCTGGTTTTGTGACCTCCTCTTCTTTAAGGAGATTCAATAGTGATTGAATCCCTGCATGTGTCTTTGGTGATGTGATCATCCCTTCATTCTTCTGAATCCTTGTGCCCCTCATCGTTACTGTGCGTTCAAGGAAAATGCTGCCACCCTAGGCTGTCCGGTATCCTTGGAGACGAATAGGCCTTCACTTTTTCTACTAGCCTGGGAGTATCAGGGCTGGGGGTGAGGCAGCTGGCAATTTCCTCAGCCAGCAGTGTTTGCTGTCGGGTTCTCTGGTGAGGCTGGGCCACTGCCTTTGTTCTGAGAACAGGTAGGGCCGCTGGCTGAGCCCCGCTGTCTAGTGAGAGCATCAGTAGGCTCCGAAATCGAGCCATTCTGCTGCTGTCTGCCAACTACAGTGGTCTCCACTCCAGCAGACTGCAGGCTATATTCTGTACGGTTACAGTTCTGGTGTGACATGTCCCCACGGACCCACAAGTTTGAACACTTGGTCTCTAGCTGATAATATTCATTTTGTGTCAGAGATGGGGGTGGGGATGTGAAGCTTCTGGAAAATGGGTCATATGGAATGTATAAGGATTGTAGTTCGGCCATCTGTCTGGGCCGCTATTTCTGGTTTCTGGCCAACCCCATGTAACAAGCAGCTGCTATAGGCTCCTGCTCCATAGGGTGAACCCTTGGCCACGCCTTCCCCACCTTAGCCACGCCTTCCCCACCGTGATAGGGTCTGAGTCCTTGTACTATGAGCCAAAATAAACCCTCCCTCTCAATTGCTTCTTCAGATATTCTGCAAGAGATGTAACTCATATGCCAAACCAAATAGGATTGCTGTATGCGTTCTGCACTTCAGGAGGGTTGAAGTCTGGCTTCTGTGTCAAGGCAGAGTTGCTGATTAAAAGAGACAGAAACTGTTGTCCATAGAAGTCACAATCATAGCTCATTTCCATGACTTGGGGTGGCCTCTGAAGATGGGCTAAGGTGGAATTTGTATTTCTAGAATGGGCATGCTAATGCCCCATGCTCTGTAGAAATTCACAGAGGACACTGGGGTATGTTCTGGGGCTGGATGATGGAGCTGACTCAGCCAGGTTGAGATTCTTTCTCTTAGGAGTATATTGCTCAGTCTGTAAGAGATAATAAAAATTCAATTTAAACTCTGTAATATTTTAAGTGAACTTAGTGAATCACTGTCATTGAAGTATAATTGATACGTAGTTAAACTGCAAATACTTAAATTGATAGGTGTTTATGTAAGCCATCATCACAATCAAGATTATGAACATACAGCCATCACCTCCAAAATGACCTCAGGGCCCTTGGTAATCCTTCCCTCCAACATCTTACTATTCCTTCCTTTCTCAAACAAACCACCCCTGCATGCCATCATTCTACAGTGATATTTAGTCTCTGTATTTTTATATGAATATAATTATAAGATGTGCACTCTAGCCGGGTGGTAGTGGTGCACGCCTTTAAATCCCAGCACTTAGGAGGCAGAGGCAGGTGGATCTCTGTGAGTTTGAGGCCAGCCTGGTCTCCAAAGCGAGTTCCAAGAAAGGCACAAAGCTACACAGAGAAACACTGTTTCAAAAAAAACAACAAAAAGATGTGCACTCTATTATCTTACTTTTCTTGAATGGTATTTGAGAAATGTAGTTGTTTTATTTGATATGTCAATTGTTCTTTTTTTTCTTAAATAGTATTTCTTAAATAGTATTTCACTGTACAAATATGAATATTCCATGCTCGGCTCATTAGCCCACCTATTGTACAATTTTGTTGCTTTCAATTTTAAGTCATTTCAGATAAAGCTGGAACATTTGTGTGCATTTTTTTGTATGAACATACACATCTTTAGGGTAGATATCTACAAGCAGAATGTCTGTACCATAATGTATGCATGCTTAAATTTATAAGAAAATTGTTTCACAAACAGGTGAACCATTTGACACTCCAGTAAGCAATGTATGAGTTCAAAGCCTTCTGAAACCTTTAGACAATTGATATAGTCAGTATTTTAATTACAACTATTCTAATAGGTATGTGATCATGCTTCATTTTACACTTAAGTAATGATTATGTTTGGCATGTCTTCATGTTTTGTTTGTTTGTTTGGCTGTCTGGCTAGTTGGTTGGTTTTGCCATCATGGCCACTTGGTGTAGCTTGGGTAAAGGCATCAGTTAGTTACTTTTCCTTTTTTATTGTGTTGTGTTGTTTGCTTGATGACATGTGTTTTTCTTAATCTTGTTTGCTTCTCTATTCATAAACACTTAAAAACATGTCCACTGGGCTGCAGTTGCTTTGATCAAACACATGTTGAATTTTCATGTATCCTATGAAAAATAATAACATCATTTCTCATTGTTTTATTCTTCACTAGTACACTTAAGAGGTCATATGAGGAGCAACAGGACCAGGCAACACCTAGCAGTGTTTGTTTTGAGAATGTTTTCTCGGGTCATCAAGGCATCAACTTCTAGTGTGATAGATCCATTGTGGGTGGCCTTCATCTCCCACAATGACCACTACTCATGATTTTTAACAGAATCTGTTTTAGCCAATGACATGTTGAACTCTCTAAAAAAATTATGTTTTCATAAATAAGCAGACAAGGAAAAGAAAACTAGTTGGGAAGTCTTTATTTCTGAGGTAGAGAAATATCACATGGAAGTCTTCACCATGTCATTAAAGTATTGTCAGTTACAATTAAACCAAACTCTTGCCAAAGTATCAACTCATTTTGTCCTCTCTTCCCTCTGGAAAAAAAAATAGTTTATATTATTAATTGAGTAGGTAGAGAAGGTAAAAATGTTTTGTTAATAGGAACATAGGAAGGCCTGCTGATTGCAACTTCTGAAGCCTTTGAAGTCTCCCAAACTTTTGTTTCAGTATTTTTTTAGATTTATTTATTTATTTATTTATTTATTTATTTATTTATTTATTTATTTATTTATTTAAAGACATTGGATGCTCTATCTGCAATTACAACTTTGTGCCAGAAGAGGGCATCAGATCCCAATATAGATGGTTGTGAGCCACCACGTGGTTACTAAGAATTGAACTCAGAACCTCTGGAAGAGCAGCCAATGCTCTTAAACTGCTGAGCCGTCTTTCCAGCCCCCTTGTTTCATTTTTTTTAAAACTAAACCTGTTTTATTAAATTATACTCATTTTAAAGGAATTTAATGGTATTTCTTAGAGTCTTCATCACTACAGATTGATATGTAGAAAGAATCAACATCATTATTTAGCCTGGGGCTGAAATTTTTGTTACCTGGAGGAATTCAAACTCCCAAAGCAGCACGAGTTCTTGAAATCAACTTTGGACCCTGAAAGTCAAGAACACATAAAAATGCTCAGAGAGAGAGAGATGCGGGATGGTAGCAGTCATACAGTCAACTCAGGCAATCCCTTGTTTCTACTGTGGGTGTACAAAAATGTGCTCCTAAGTGAGTTCAAGTCATATCCTAAAAATAGTCTCCTAAGACCTTGGTTATGTAATTAATACACTAACTAGTGAACTCTTTTAATTCAGTTCCTGAAAACTGATTAACTTTAGCTCAGAAAAGTCTACATTATCATCAATTATTTATATACATTTAATCATTCTCTCCATTAGGAAATAAATCAAAATTACTGATTCTCTTAATAGAGCTTAAATTTTCAATTCTCCCTGATACTTAGGAAAATGTTATTATTTTTGAACCTCAAGAAATATCCAAAGAAAATTTAAATCTGTCATTATTTTAAGTTGTAGATTTGCAGGATATTATGTCCATTCTTTACTGCAGGATGCTCCATGCCAAGACTTTGGGGAATAAAATGTTTCGCACGCACCTCTTCTGCAAAACAGACTTCCTGCTGCTGGCTTTGGCAGCACTTTTCCAAAAAGCTAGAGAAATCAGCAGTGACAGCCTCGTGTTGCTCCTCCGTCATGCGAGGCTTTTGCTTCACAAGGTTAATGAGAAGCCTGTGGTTGAAAACAGAAGGAAATACAGGGAAGCCTGTCATGCAATGGCGCTTTCCCAAACTGCTTTTAGTAGAATGTTTTCAGAGCCCTGGCAGTCCCCACCCTTAGCCAATACTCCTTCCACTCATTGCCAGGCTTAGCCCTCCCAGTTTAGATCAGAAAGACTGAGGCTGGAAACATGCCAAGCTGCTGCCCTGCCCTGGTGCAAGTTACAGATGAAACACCATGTCAGGATTCAACATGCTTTTATGGAGTGAACTGTGTGGTCTCTGTCTTGCTTGCCTACGTTATTCTTTCCTATTCCCTCTTCTGTAGTGTGGTTTATCCATGCACACAAGCCCAAATGTCTGGATGCTGACACCTGTCACTGTCATACCTTAACCCAAGGATCACTGGCCGCCTACACTACTCACTTAGCAGTGATTATATGGTGGACTTAAAGCTGGCAGGGCAATAGGGAAGGCTTGGGAGGAAAAAGCCTCATTCTTATTATTCTCTGCTGACTGAAGTGAAGAAAAATGGAAGAATGGGTCTCCCAAGGAAGGAAGGCCCTGTGCAAAGCCAGTGAGTATTAAATTTAAATTAAAATGCATGGGTATTTGAAGAATGTAAGTTCCACTAGCTTCATCCTGATCACCATTACAGAATGTCGCTTGTCATCAATAAAATGTGTATTTATCCCCTTCTATTTTAACAATATGGTTTAGTCAGATATAATTATCCTGCTTGTAAATGCAGTCACACATGTCCTCTAATTGGAATGGAAGTACCCAGACTCACTACAAAGATCTCTCCTAATTTTTCAAAATAGATCATCCATTTTCCTTCTACCCAAAATATATCACAGTTGTTAGGACAGAGATAATTTTTTATAAAGGGAAAATTGTCTGCCTTAGTGGATTTTTCCAAACCAACTTCCCCTACAAAGCTGTATGAAAACTGAAACAGAACTAATTTCAATGAGATACTTTAGTACTTCAAGGGTAGTTATGTTCTAGGGAACCTATGAGTCATAGAAATGTAAAGCAGGAGTCTCGGCTCCCCTCTCTAGCACTGGTCTTCTCCAGGGCAGAGCATAACAATGTCTTACTCTTGTTTCATGGTTTGCAGAGCTATTCCCTGAGCTTGGCACAGATCCTTGGTCAAGGTGAATTTGTCATCAGAAAATGGCGGAGGGACATAGCTTTCATCTATCACCAAGCTGGTGATGCATGGCCTCCTGTTGGAATATGAAGAGTTGCAGCAGTGGCCAATGCCAGGGTTCAAAGGGTTTGCTTCATGTCGTATACACAAGTGTCCAATGAAAAGGTCAGCCTGGTTAGGAGAATGAAAAGGAAGAAAGCAGGGAAATGAAATTAGCCACCAAGTTGGCTCACAGTTCCTGAAATCTCATGTAGTGACACCCAGTGTCCAAGAATTTATCACTAATATTACAGGAAAACTTGCTATGTATTATTGTTGCCATACTAACAGCATGTTGTGGACTTGAATGTTTGCCCATTTGCTTGGGATGAAACAATATGGAGTGACAGATTTTTAATACATGTGACATTGATGAAAGCCCTTTAGCTGGCTGAAATATGCTTCTAGTTGCACACAGACTTTTAAAAAGGAAAAATATCTCTATCTTGATGTGTACAAATCAGTCGGTTGCTTTCTATGTGTATCTGGTTAAGTTTTGCTTTTCTTTAAATGTTTGTTTTATTTTTAGGCATGTGTACATAGGGGTGGGGGTGGGTGTCTGTGGAAGACAGAGGCATCAAATCTCCGTGGATCTGGAGTAAAGGGTGTTTGAGAGTCATTTTCAGTGGGTGCTGAGAACAAAACTTTTTTTTTTTTCGAAACAGGGTCTCACTGTACAACCCTGGCTGTCCTAGAACTCGCTCTGTAGACCAGGCTGGCCTCGAACTCAGAACTCTGCCTGCCTCTGCCTCCCGAGTGCTGGGATTAAAGGAGTGCACCGCCCCAAGCAGTACACACTTTTAACTGTCCAAGCTATCTCTTCAACTCTGGAGTTTGGGTTTTGATGCAGAGACTCCCTTTCTGAAGGTCAGAATAGAACAAATCTAACCTTTGCAATTTTTATTACATACACACACACAACTCATAGAAAATAAATGGTTGTATAAATGTGTATTTAAGGCTTTAATATAGATTCTTCCAATCTCACATACTTCAAAGATATCTCTTAAATATCTAGTTATAAATTTTAATTATTTTAGCATGTTTGTGTGCTTACTATTCTCAGGCTAAGTTTATGTGAGTCATTCAGATTATCTAGTCTAAGACAGTCACCCTAGAAAAATGGTACAATTTCTATTCTTAAGTATCAATGCAAACAGCTCAAGCTTACTGACAGAAGTCATCTTTCAATGTGACATGAAAATGAAGGAGCTTACTATCCAGAACATGGATCTTACTCCTGTGCTTGACCTTGGGAACAAACTGCCCCAAATAGCGCTATAATGATAAGACTGGCCTGCAAAGGCAGATCCCTAAGTATGGTTAAAATAAGATAACAAAGTGCAATATATTGTAAATAAAGCTTTGCTTTGCTTTTCAAATATTAAAGTAAGAATTTAGATAATACGAATAAGTTGAATAACATATTGGCTATTATCCTTCCTATACATAAAGCTTGCTTAGATATTGTTGAACAAATCGGCTGCACTTCTACCAGGCATTCTAGAAGGGCAGCAAGCCTGGATCAAGGCAAACCACCGGGAGACAGCACTCCCACAAACCCCTCCATTTGAACTCACTGAGCGAACCAAGCAAACGCCATCTCCACTATTTCTCCTAGCATGGAAATATGGAACAGCTTCAAGTCAAACAGAGCAGAAACGAGAGAGGATACTCACCGCTCCCTCACCACAGGCAGACCATTTATCCTCGCTGAGCTGGCAGCACGTGGATGCAATGCCCACCATCTTCCCGGTGAGGTCTATCAGCTCTGCTGACTTCATCTGAGGGACTTTCCTTGTGTAAGTAATGAGGAACCTGAAAGAAGCATTTTTACCGTGCCGTCATGAGTTTTTACTCCTTCTCAAGGGCCTACTTTTGGTGTCAGGAGACATGAGCATATGGCTCAGCAGTTGAGAAGTTTTTATTCTGACATCACTCCACATGCTCTCGTCTTCCCCACGTATCACTAGGGGATGCAGACGCCGCAGCAGCGGGCTATCTTCCCAGCATCAGCACTTCCCTGATTTCGACTGTGACCTTTGGGTGTTGGAACCTTGACAGGCTGTGAGCAAAATGGACTCCTCTCCTGCAAAAAGTTGCAGGGTTTGGGGAACCTGCAGCCAGTTCAATAGATCAGATTCCACAGGTGCTCTTGTGGATCCCTAAGGGGGAACAACGATCTGGGAGGAATCATGTAATCAGTTTTATACTGACTGCTGTCCAACTGGGGATGGAAGTGAGAGGAGGAGCGGCTTAAGAATTTAAATGTATGTTTCCCTCACCTATTAAAAGTGTGACATCACTGAACACAACAACAACAACAACAGCAACAACAACAACAACAACAACATACTCCTTTTGTAAGTAGTAGGCCCCCAGCTTCTGGTAGAGAGCACAGCTCTGCTTCGCCAGGGCTTGGCTCTCCTCGACGTGCTTTTGCAGTTCTTCTTCCTAAAAGTACAGATATTATTACATGCATTTTTCTCTCCTCCAAGACACACAATTTTCTTTATGCCAGTAGCTTGCTTATTCCATTACAAAACCCATCTTGGAAGCCTTTATAAAACATTAAAGATGATAGAGTGTGACCTTTGAAAATCAAAACAAATGAACTCTTGAGAACACAACCACCAGATAGAGAGCTGAAATTTCTGTGTAAGATTTTGCCTTCCCAAAACTGTCAAAAAATGAATATTCTCTCTATTCTATTCACCATGGAGCATTTGACCAACATTTTTTATTTCTTATATAAGCCATTGGTTAGGGGTTGGAATAATTACTTAATAGTTAGGTTACTAGTTTATACATATAATTAGCTAAGTACTAGTTAATAAATAGTTACTTTTCATTTTAATAAAAATAGTCTATTTTTTATTATTTGGTGAGGAACATGTGCTTTTCAAAGGACATGTGTGGAAGCCTCTCAAACATTGTAGAACAGGTTTCTTTTCCTTCTCCCTTCACATGGTCCCCTTCAACTCAGGTCCCCAGGCTCATGATATGGGTACCTTTACCTGCTGAACCATCCCTCTGGCCCACAAACAGTATTTTCAATGCTTCTTTATCAATGCAGTTTTACAGATTATGCCCCAAATTCCAGAGCAGCCTACCACATTGTCCTGGCATGCAAGTGAGCTTTCAGGCTGGGAACATTTCTCCAACATCTCCTGGTAGGTTTTAGCAATTCTTAGAATGACAGAGACAGCATAGTTGGGATGTCTTCTTGAATATTCATAAAGAAAGCTGAAATATGTAGGAAAAAATATCATGTTGTTGGAACTAAGACCAAATTACACTATTAATTCCCTAACCATTCCTATGTAATAGTCAGAGCATATAGGCATTAAAAATCAAATAGCAAGTGAAGCAGAAAAAACAAAAATAATTTGAACTCTATGAACAGCAAAACTCTTAATGCAGGCTATATGTACAGTCCCTTAAATTACTCTGTAAAATGTCCTTTCATGGAAACATGACATCTGCCAGAAAATAGATGGAACTGGAAATCATTAAGTTAAGTGAATAAGCTGGTTTCAAACAAACTCTACATATTTTCTCTCATATGTGGAACCTAGTTCTAAAACTATGTATGCATGTATGTGAAATTATTTCTAATTAAAGAAGAATGATACAAATAATGCTGTTTTTATTTTCCTTCATATTTTATGTTGGCTTTTTAGTGATGAGGTTTATAATCATTTAACCAACAGATATGTTTTCCAGAGAGTACTGTATGCTAAAATTGCTCTAAACAGTGAAGGGCTAATGCCATGTAGCAGAAAATCTCTTTCCTCCCCGAAGCATTTGTTATAAGGAGGCAGAAGCAAGTTTAAAATGGGTCATCTATCTTTGGTAGTGATAAATCAATGGAGAGAAAATAAAGAAAGATGAAGGGCAAGAAGAGAGGTGGTGCCCAATGAGGGGTAGTCACTAATTGGGCTTGTGGTCAAGCACAGCTTTTTCGGGTAAGTGATACAGCAGCAGAGGTGTGAGGGAAGGAAGTGCAAAGGTGTGGAGGAAAACCATTCTTAGCTGAGACAATTTCCACTGCAAACATTCTTTGCCACCGAAGGCCTATCTCTATGAAGCACACTACTAGCTTTCTTAGATGTGTATGCACATATAAGTGTGAAGATTGCTCTTTAATATTGTGTTCCATGGTTATAGATATTGGTAGTACTTACTTATACCACCAATAAAATCCCTAGCTGTGTCTCCTGAATCTAGTCTTTTTTTTTTTTTGGTTTATATAATTTTATTTAGCAGTACAAATGATATGTGAATTTTCTGATTTTAAGGCAACGAAAGAGCTATGTCTTCTGGGAATACTGGGGAGGAAATTGAACCATTGTTTTCACTGCTGCGTTAGAATCAGACTCTCGAATTGAGAAAGGCCCTTGGAAATCATTAAATATAATATCCTAAGAGTTGCACAAATCCCTCTTCTAACAACATCCACAGGTACATACAGTAAAGGAAAAGGTATTAACTTGACTGTTGACAAATAGAATGAATACATGCCTATTGATTCTACTACAAAAAAAACTGCCATTGTGAAAATATTCTAAATGTGTTTCCATTGGCTTAAAAATTCAATAAATAGTGAGCAATCTGTTTCAATGAAAGACTGTCTATCTGGCTCTAGCTATTGAGTTACATTTAGGGGAATGGTTTTTAAAAACATGTATAGCAAGAGAGTCTATTCATGATCTTGGGCCCTTCTTGTTTTCAATTTTAATTTTATTTATCTATTATTACTTGAGGGGGAGGCACATATGCCGTAGCATGCATGTGTTGTTGAGGAGCACTTTTGGAAATTGGTTCAATCACTTTCCCTGGTTTGAACTCAGGTAGTCAGGCTTGTGTGGCAAGTACTTTTCCCCACTGTGCCAACTTCCCAGCCTAAGCCTTCCTTATTACAGAAATATCTAGATTATCTTTGAAAGTTCATGGTGGCTATCAGATGAGCTATGTAACTAGGATGGCATTCCTTGTTTCAGAGAAAATACAAAACAAAATTTAGATTCATAAGCAAGCCAATTAATAGTGATTATTGATTATTGTGGAAGTCTCATCACTACCACAGATCTCATCCCCTAGGTACTGGTTCCCTGCTTGCAGCTCCTTAGCATCACAGTATCAAGACAGACAGCCTCAACTGAGCTCAAAAATTATAGCCACCACTCCCCATGCCAACAAAACAAAGCTTCCAATCACATGATGGTCTTTATCATTGTGAACATAGATTTACAGGGCATGTTACCTTGCCATGAACATGATTTTTTCCTCTGAAGAAAATTGGCCAAAATTTCTATCTCCCAAAAACCCATTTAGATTTGGAGATAAACCTTCAGGTCTGTCATCGTTTTCTGCATTAATTATGCAATAGCCAAGTTCCAGTGTGGGTAATTTGCAGCATTCTGCTATTTTGCTTGACAGAATATCTTGTTGAGAACATATATACGACATGACTTTTTCCTGTAATGGGTATAACAAAATATAAATCTCAAAGATTTATCCTTTAAGGTAGGAACTTAAAGCTTAAGAAGAAAGTGGAAGAAGATATCAATGGAAAGGTGAAGAGAAAAACCAAGAGCCAATACAGGCATTTTGCTGCATCTCTCTTTCTGTTTTTAACTCCTCTCTCTCTTCCCTTTTATTTTGCTCACCTTGCTTTTCCTCATTGCTTTCCGAATTGTTCAAGACCTCTTTCTTGTAAGTCCTTCTTTCTATTTTAATAAAAATCTTCAAGAAACGAAGGAAATATGCTGCTCAAACCACACAGCATCTTTTTATTGGTATTGAAATTTTCCAAATGGACAATATTCGCAGCGGGCATTCTAACCTTGCCAGCTCTCCCCTCCATCTTGATCAGAAAGATATGCAGTGACCCACTCTGCCCTCCAGAGGGCAATCTCTAGACAGCAAACCGGCAGTGAAAAATCCTGGAAAGAAAACTTTTGTCTCTGCTCAGGGGCTTTATCAGCTGTGATGGTTGAAACCTAATATTCAGTTGTTAAAGCCTTCCTTAAAATACTGAAATTACTTTTTTCTACTCTCAATAAAAAAGTAACTACAAGCTCCAAAAGTTAAAAGGTAATTTTTTTTAACCGTCTATGAAAATCAATAAAATTGTTACTTACAAACCAAGAAAGCTGTCATCAAAGAAAAGCAAAATACTTTTTTTTTGCTGGTATTCCTAACTGACCGATGAATTCTTAATGTGATGAGCAAATAAATACTCAAATCTATGCTTCCTGGTTTATCCTCCCGACAGGGGTGCCTGTTGCCCTAGTATCTGTACAGCTCTGTCCCTGGCAACTCCTGCCACATGCTTACTTCCCTGACTACCCCTACAAAAGCACCACGGGAGTGTACTGAAAGGAGTCTTTCCTGCCCCAGTTTTCAAGTCACTTGAGCCTCTAACAACAGTGATTTTTTTTTAAGTCTCCTTGGTGTCACAGGGATGAGAGGGGAAGTAATTTGTTGTATGTAGACTTCTTGTTCCATGTCTAGAAAGCCCAGGATTGGCCCAAAATTGCCATGCCATGTACATGACCACTTCTTATAGATTCTATTGCTAGGGGTTTGGGGTTTTAATTCTTTTTAATCCCTTTATTCACACCTCTGCTTGCCATGAATGGACATTTTTCCTTGTGCAACAGTTTATTGGGTTATTTTTACTTATAAATCTGTCATCAAACTATGACAGACTCTCTCGATGTGACAGGCATTGTCCTGTACACATATCAGTGAACAAGACAGTCTATAATTCCATGAAGGCCATTGTCTTATCTCTCTGATTAAACTGTACATTCCTTGATGTCAGTTTATGTTTTCCTAGTGCCTCTCATGGTGAACCAGCAGCTAGCTGGGTGGTAGAAGATACTCACTGTATTTCAGTCAAATAAAGAAACAAATGTACCTTAGTCTCACAAACAGGGGCAGGGATTGCTAAGGCCTGAAGTGAAAGCTGAGATCAAGAACATAGCTTAAATTCTACCCTTAGAAAGCCTGTAACTTCACAAAGTCACAGCTACCATACACTGTGCTCTGGCCAAGGCAGGTGGCCTTCATTTAGAGTGAGACAAAGTGAAAAGGGAGGAAGTAGAAACCATCTCATAGAAAAAGAGAGACTCCTACCCCATCCTGCAGGCACTCCAGCGCGTTTCCTAGACAGCACTCCTCATGGATGTGGGACACATCCAGGACCAGCTTCTCAATCTCAGTAAAATTCGCCCTGGGAAACTTTTGACTTAGCTTAATAATGGTTCTGGGAGAGGAAGATTTAAAGAAAAAAAAATCAGCTTGTTTATGTATTAGAATGAAATCTCATGTCTATCAAGCGTCTGTTGAGTTACCTCCAAGAGGAAAGAACTGAGATGTCTTAGGTCATCAGCTTCAGCCCTACCTCTCCATGATCTGTAGATCATGGACTGGGTCTCCAAGTAATTTGCAAGTAATTCTTAACCTCGTAAAGACTCTCTAGGGACTCAAGTTAAATGGTGCCCTTGCTTGTTCACCTCTGACTCTGAATATTTGGGATCCACTTGTCTATAATTCCACTAGGCAGAAGGTGGAGGCAGGAGAATTGGGAGTTCAAGTCCAGCCTAACTACCAGATTCTGCCTCAAAGGGGACAAACACATATTTTTATTAAAGAATAAATGATGAAGGGGTGGGAAAATTCTTTGAGAATAACATTTGCTTTTCATTTCTTAGAAATAAATAGTTGTGAGAAGCCAGCGAGGGTGCAGATGCCCAAATCAAGGAAATGAAAGAAGTGGAGCATACTTAATGTTGGAGACAAGTCAACAGATCAAGGCAGAAGGAAAGGATAAATGAAAGCTGCCTGCATCTGGGGATTCCATTCATGGGAAGGACTAGCCATGCACATATCCGGCTCCTTGAGTAGATGCTTGAGTCATTGCTACTGATGAGAGGGAGTCTGGGGACAAGTGGGGAAAATATGGCTCTACTTTCTGATAGATACATTGTGCAGTTGCTGTAATTGTTTCTTCATTTTTATTTTACTCCTAAGACAGATTTTTAAAGTGCTTCATGAACTGATCATTAAGTTTCTGGCAGAATTGGGAGGTAATTGAAGGGTAAGTCGGGCCTCTTCCAGAAGGAATTCCCAGCCAGTCTTTGGAACTAACTATATGACTGAAAATGTCCGTTGAGTCTCAGCTGTGCACAATACTCATGACTCACATCATCTAGAACTTTCTTTTCACCTGCCACTGGGCTCTAAAGTTGTTGCCTTGAGGGAATATTTTAATGAGAAGCAACACTTGACACAATGGAGCCGATTAGGAAGCACAGTTAACATGAAGAATTTCTTGTTAGGCCACAAGTCTGAGATACCTCTCCATGAGGGTTGGCCTACTTTGTAGAAGAGCTAGGAAAATATGGTCTAACAAGGTGGTATAGTTTGATTGTAGATGGAAACTAAAATGTCTAGAACAGGCAAGCAGTATAAACCTTAAAATTCTCTCTCAACATCACCCCAGTGGGGCTTTTGTAAGTAATAAATGGCCAAGTGATCTGATAGCTTCCTTCTGATCCTAAGATTTCATGATTCTAACCACAGTCTCCATCACCAAAGGGGACTTTGCTTGGTAAGAGTGACACTGAGAAAAAAATAAACAGCAATTCTACAGCGCCTAGCTGATTGCCTCCATAGAAGCTTAAACTTACATGGCCTGGAGGTTTCGGGATCCAAATTTCCTTATTACTGCACATACATGCTCATTCAGCAAGCTGCCTTCTCTTAATTCCTTTGCGATTGATGCCCTCTAGATGCAGAAGAAGTGAAGTGTTAAAAAAAAAAAAAAGCCCATGTACTCTTTCTAAAAATTAGAAAAGCAATGGGTACAGATAACACATGAAAGTCCATGGAATATTTTTTTTACTTAACTTAGAATTACCAGACATTTAAGCAAATTATTTTTAATGACTTTTAGATTAATTCTTATGTATATTTGCCTGAGATTTATTTAAAATACTTCAAAACAAAACATTATAATTTTGATACAGAGACCATATGGACAGTGTGCCTTTCCAGCCTGTAGGCAAACTGAAGCCCACTGACCCCTGCTCCATTAAAAAAAACATGATTGTGTCATAGTCTGGTATTGAGGAAAGTCATGCACTTCTTAGAAATCTGGGCCCAGTTGGGGCTATATAAGACTCTGTCTCAGCCAGGCAGTGGTGGTGCATGCCTTTAATCCCAGCACTCCAGAGGCAGAGGCAGGTGGATCTCTGTGAGTTCAAGGCCAGCCTGGGCTACAGAGTGGGTACCAGGACAGGCTCCAAAGCTACACAGAGAAACCCTGTCTTGAAAAACAAACAAATAAAAAAACAACAAAAACAGAAAAGACTCTGTCTCAAAAAGTAAAAACAAGCAAGCAAACAAAAGCCAGAAGCTAAAATATGCTCCACTTTGCTGACATGAGTAACCCCATCAACGTTCAGCTTCTTTAGCTCTGGTAGGGTCTGCAGTGTACACTACACCTGTAGTGTGCTCATCATCCATGGAGTTATTTATTCTGTATGAATACTGTCTCATGTCTGCATGAGAAGCTATAGGAATGCATTTCAGTGTCCTACTCTGCAGAAGATACACGGTTCCATCGTTCTGTCCAGTTCATAGCTACTAAGTCACCATTTCCATGTAGATTGCTATTACTTCTACTTTCTGTAAATGCTGATTCATGAAGCCATAAAACATACATATTTTTACTTTGGCCTAAAGTTGTACTTTACCATTATAGGTATTGTTTCTAATGATAACTATAAATATAAAAGGAAATTTCACTGATAATGAAAAAGACTCAATTTAAAAAAAAAAAGGATGTTCATTAGGATGAAAAAGAATTACACTCTCTTCTGAAGATGATAGTCTCCACCTGAGGCACATTTCCACTTTTAACTCTGTTTTCCTGAGCCATAGCTAGACCCCATTTAGGTTCAGATAGCTACACAAAGAGATCACCTTTGTCTGGAAGCATTCCTCTGCGTTTTCAGCTTTGCAGCAAGCTGGGACTGCTTTGTCGTACTGAGCAGCCAAGGAAAGAATGGTAGGTGCATACAGGAAGGGGTACCTTCTTGACACTTCGTAGATGACCCTGTGAAATGGACAACACTTGGAGATTTGCAAACATGTAAAAAAAAAAAATGGATGGACTGCAACTGCTCTGAAGTGGACTCTGGGATTTATTTAAAGATTTGAATAACAGCAAAAGCAATGGAGTGCACGGGGCTTTTACTTTACTAGGCCATTACAGGAGAAATGTCTGTGCTTCTTCCAGATGCTGTCAAAAGTTTTCCTCTCTGTCAGCCCCAGGAGAAAAGAAAAGATCGAATACTTGGTTCCAGAGTCTATTATGAAAACAAGCAAAGATGCTATGATTCTTATCGAAATGTCTTTTTCAGTAAGTCTGCTCAGACATGCCTGGGGAACCAACAAAGCCAGACTTCTTAGTAATCATCCTAGCAAGTCCTCCTCCCTCCTCTATATAGATATATAGATAAATAGATTAGATAGACATATAAATGCATGCGTGGATGGATGGATGGATAGATGATAGATAGATAGATAGATAGATAGATAGATAGATAGATAGATAGATATGGAATAATATATATATATATATATATATATATATATATATATATATATATATATATATATATATAACCCCAGAACTTAGAAGATGGAGACAGGAGGAGCAGAGGTTCAAACCTGTCCTTAGCTATATACTTAGTGCAAGACCAGCTTGGACTTCATGAGGCCCTGTCTCAAAAATAACATGAAATTTTTTTTTTTTTTTTTGGTTTTTCGAGACAGGGTTTCTCTGCGTAGCTTTGCGCCTTTCCTGGAGCTCACTTGGTAGCCCAGGCTGGCCTCGAACTCACAGAGATCCACCTGGCTCTGCCTCCCGAGTGCTGGGATTAAAGGCGTGCGCCACCACCGCCCGGCAACATGAAATATTTTTAAAGGAAGGAGAGAGGGTGACAACAGTGCTTGTGAGCATTCAACCAGCCATTTGTGCCAAGCTCATTTGTTCCAACATTACCTGACTGTACAATATCAATTATCAGTTTAGTGAGTGAGATACATAAATAAATACTTGGCTATTGGAAGTCATTCTTTCATTGAATACTGATGCATTTGGGGGTGAAGCGAAATCAAGACTTTAAAGGTGGGAAAGAGATAATGCCTCCAGAGGCTGGAGGATCAGAGGCTGGGTCTGCATGTGGTCTGTTCTGCATCTCACAGCCTGTATTAGCAGGAGCCCTCGAGGTATTCTTGGTACAGACCTCAACAGACACACACTTCTACACACTTTGGAGTACACTTGTAGACTGCAGAAACACTGGCTGCCTGGTGGATGGTCCTTACCTGTTCATGAACATCTCCCTGTTTTCTTTGTATGCTTTGCAGCTCTCGGCAGGTTCTGGAAAGCTGAAGGGCATGACAGAGGCCACAGCAGTCTTCTTGCGCGCAAGCAGACACTGGTGTCTCCCCTCCCCAGTTTGACCGCAGCAGTCCGAGAGTCCATACTTGTCACAGATCTCCTTCTCGTGGCAGATTTCATCCAGAAACACAGATATCTGGGAAGAGAAGAATCTTTGGTTTTTAATGAAATGAGGCCAGTAAGTTAAGAAAATTCCCTGTACGTGCTCAATATGTTTCCTCTCAGTCTGATGTGATGACTTTCCTTGGTAGCTTTTAGGGTAAAGGGCTTCTAATTTACATCCTTGGGTAGCACATAAGACATATTTTATTTTAAAAGAAAAGGGGGCCATGTAATAGTTTATCTTCCCTGTCTTAATTTTAAATTAAGTGAATTTACTCTTTCATTTCATGAAAAATTTGGCCTCAAGATAATAGAAACTTTCCTCATTGTTTTATAGATATTCATTCCATTTGGCCTTATAACAACAGGATGATAATCTAAAATTGAATATTATTTTCAGTTAAAAGTAAAAATGACTTTAAAGTGGACTAAAAATAGAACCACCCTTCATTAGTCATAATTACAGATTTAGCTACAATATTTTAAAATGCTTTCTTCCTTAGTGCCCAAATTCACTGAGATTGGACAAGATCTGAAGAAAAGCTCTAAAAAATGCATGTTTTGTACATTTTAGGAAAATCTTTAACTATTATAACTGCTAATATTTTTTAAATCTTGACAGTCTTACTAAAGACTCTACTTCTCGATATCAACTTCTTATTATTGATGTTCTCTAAACGGTTGAGACAGTGTCTCTTCATGAGATGGTCCTTCCTGGCCTGAAACTCACTTGCCCCAGCCTCCTGAGCACTGAGATCATAGGAGTATGCCACCATGCTTGTCTCGATCCACCCTTCTAAATAAACCTTTTGATTTGGAGGTGACAAATCACCCAGTCTGGAACAATGTCCTGAACTCTAATCGAACAAAAAAAAAATTTACAATAAGAAGTGTTTTTTGGCATGATTCATGCACACGTTTTTTTTTTTTAACTGACAAACAGAGAAAGACAAAAACAAAAATATAAACCAAGGCTTCTTATGAACTCATAAACTTTAGAGTTTTAGGAAGCAGCTGAGGTTGCCTTCCTACTGGCTGGATTTCATAATGCCAGAAGGTTCTGTGCAAGCTGCTGGGGGAGAAAAGTCATCTCATCTATACTTTTACCCAGCTACAAACTGTACAGTTGTTAAGTGTACAACAGCCATTAGCCTGGCTAAGGTATATCCATTGGTGCAACAGGGGCGTAAAGTTACAAGGGTAAATCTGATTGGATATCAGGCCTGCTCTCTCCGTGTAGGACTCACGCCTGGCAATGTAAACTGCACCAAGAACCCATGGTTGAGTATGCTGTAGCCCCTAAGAGAGGACCTGTTTTTATTTATTTTACTGAATGGACATAGTATCAGACTGCCTTCTAAACCCTGATCGCTATAGCTGGAGCCTAGTCCAGCCCTCAGCCTGCATCCCTGATGCTTCTATTTGCGGTGGATGGTGATTAATACAGAGACTGACAGCTGCCAAAGTTCAGAAGATAAGTGACTATGGGGTGCTCGGCACTAAACGAGACATCTAAAGAGAGGGGAACATTCTTCTGCCTGCAAGAATCAGGGTCCATTGGGAAAGAGGGAGGAAAGGTAGGAGCCACAGATTGCAAGAAGACTTCTGCAAAACTGTTTTTAGACATGACTGGGCAACTGTACACATGAAGTTACAATGGCTATGGTTGTCTGTACAAGACCTGCATAAAATCAAGCTAGTCAAAACTCCTCACAAAGCCCCAGCCCTTGCAGAGGAGTTATTGGCAGTTGCTGCCTGCTAGAAGACAAAGAGTGGGTTTTCTTTAGGATGTAGCCCTTGGCACATGTACCAGCAGATGGCCCTGTGCCCATGCACATACTGGAAGACACCATGGATTTTTTTAAAAAAGGAAACAAAACTGAGACAGAGATGTTGCAGTAAGGGTAGTCTGGAGGACTTGGAAAGAGGGCTTGGAACATGAACGTAATTCAAATACTTTGTATAAAAGTCTCAAAGAATGCACTTTAAAATATACATTTTAAAAAGATCTCCTCTACAGTGCCCAGACACACAACATTTTGGCTACTTCAACTCCACTGGGACAGAGCTCTGGGAATTTTGTCCCATACTTGCTAATTCCAACAAGTATAAAGTCCATTTCCATACAAAAGCAAACTAAAGGAGAGTAACTATTTCATAATGAGCTTTTATGCCAGGACAACTGTGTACTTGGTGGTTTTTCTGAAGTTCTAATTTACCCGGCTATCAGATATTGATGCTCCTGTATATTCGCTATATCCAACAACCCGAAGAACCTGCTATGGGCCTCACACTCACTGTGCTGTGCTGAACAGTGGGAGCAGCCTGCTAAGGACCTTATTTCTGGACGCAGATGTCCCCATTTAAACCTCAGTTCTGCCAAACTATAGTTCCCTAAAGGAATGACTTTTCTGAGCCCCAGTTTCCTGCACAGAAAAATTGTCCTCAGCCTCGGAGAATTATTATAGAGATTTGATTAATTTAATTATTATTATCATAAAAACAATGTAATGTTATATAAAATCATGATTATATAATAGAGATTGTTGCGTAATTTAGTGATTTAACATTTATCAATTAGACAGGGATTCTGGTGATAAGCTGCAGCTAAGTTCTCTTAGGTCACTGGACCGATGCTCTGATTGGTGAACATCATCTTCCACGTGGTGTTTTGATTAGCAATGCATTTGCAGTAATCCCTAGAGAGACGTCAGCCACACTGTGTGCACAAGAGGAAATGACCTGCCATTCATAGTTAATGTAAATCTCCATGACGACTCTAAATGGACTTAATGTCACCCTGTCTGTGTATTGTAGATATGAAAGCTCAAAGAAGAGAAGGTGTCCGTGGTGGCCCAGATAATCTTACTGTGTAACCGTAGCTCTGAGTCGCTATTGTTGTTACTCTTGGCTCGTTTTAGCAGCCACCTGCTCTGCGACAGTGCTGCCCAGGATTCCAGGACTGATGGAACCCTGCTTTCATACAACAGGTTTTCAAATAACCAAGAGCACATCTTCCCGGTACCTTCTCTTCTACAGCCTAAATTTTGGTCGAGTTTCACAGGGGCTTTTCTTTCTGTTCACTCACCTGGTTTTCTAAACACCCTCCATGCTGCTCATCACTGGCGGGTTTCTTAATCGCAGTCAGCACATCGCTTATCATTTTGCTTACTTCCTTGATAGTGGCTTCCGGAACAAACTGGGTAAAGGCGATGGTTGCGCTGAAATAAAACCACATGCAGAGGCTTAAGGACTAGACTCGGGTCACACTTGCCTTCCAAGCACAGCTTTTCCTGTTGGTGGCTTGTGTTCTGATCTGTTCAGAAGGCACCCTTTGCTAAAAGTCTGCATGAAATCAGGTTCTAGTCCCTCAGAAATGAATGTCAGCTGTCTTTCTGTTACCCTCACCCATAAAGATGGATGTTAACTCTTACAAGTCAAAATAAACAGATTTCCAAAAAAACGTGCATCCTCCTTTTTGGACTGCTGCTCGTGTGATACATTGGTAACTGCGAAGACCTGTATTCTTTAAAGGTTTTTTTTTTTTTCTTGCTTAATTTAAGCAAAGATTAAGTCATTAGACCTCCAGTTATGTTTGCTCCTATTGTGGCTGAACTCCAGTCCTAGATTGTGGTAGTCTCAGACAGACTCAGGTGATGTGTGTTCAGGTTTCTGCATATAAATGTCACCAGTAACACATGTGTTTAAATTCCTTACTATAAAGTTCAAATGGGTAGAACAGAGGCAACATTTAAAGGAATAAAAATTCCTCCACAAATAACAAAAATAGAGATATTTTACTCCCTATGACTTGATATGAAACAGTCTACAAACTAGTGAATGTTGCAGTCTTTCTATTGGTACTGATAAGACAGATTTCTGCGCCCGTACAGAGCTATTACTGACTGCTGAGAAATTAATCTTCAGTTCTGAAAATCTGATTTGATTTGCTTCATGGAATTCCAGGCAATGTATAGGTTAACATGCAAGGCATTGCCCAAAGTTCAACATTTTGCATGTCTGTTTGATATTCAGTATCAGCGAAGCCTTAAAATTGTCCGATTCCCTCTTGTAATTTAAAAACAATGTATATTCAGTTGTCTAGAGTTTTTTTTGGCATGGTGTATCTGCAATGCAAAGCAAAACTTACAGGTTAAGTATATTCTTCTCTGTCGAGCACTGGGGAGCATCTAACGTGGAAGCTGGAAAACAAAAGAGATTTTGACACGTGATCATTTCAGCTGGGAAAGCAATCATTGTTGAATTTAAACCCAAACTATAACTTTTAGAACTGAAAAGTTATTAAGAACCACCTGTCTAGATATGTTAATTTTACACTTGGGAAAAAAAAATAAGGAACAAAGTTAACCAAACTGATCAATTGCAGACTTACCACTAATACTCATATTTCAGACTCCCTAACTATTTGGCTCCCTAAAAGTACAGTGTTCTGACTTATTTTAGCATCCTTTGGACATAATTATGCTACAGTTGGCTCATTCACAGGGATGCTTTTCACAGAGTCAAACAATTAGCCCTTACTGAGAATAAAAATGTTACTTTTTTTTGTCAGCCTGAAGGAGCTAGGAGTGTGGCCTGGTTTCCGTGTATAATGTCTTTTCATACACATGATATTAAATGTGTATATGAGATTAAATAAATTAATATCAAAAAGTTGATTGATCATGGAATATACAAAAACTGACTTGCTAAACATTACTGTGGTTTCATAAGCCTCTTGTAAAATTACATTTACCCTTCATCTAAATCTATCCACCAGTTAAATATTTTTCCTCATCTATAACAGTAAATATGATGCCTAAATCAAGATGCCTGAAGAGATGCAAATGTGAGAATTTTTAAGAATTTTGTTATAGAAAAATAGCTCCCGAGTTATATAGCATCTTACCTATTCCAAACTCATTTCTATGCAGCGTTTTGGGTTCAGCAAACCTTAGCAGGAAGACGAAGAAAATGGATACCCTCCACTTCATGGTTGCTAGTTTCTCCGGGGCTAGCAGTGGTGGAAGCGGAATGTGGGAGCAGTCCCGCTGGAGTTCTTTTATACCCTTCATAAGGGATGCCTGTTAACTAGTAACCATCTCTTAGCAAACATATTGCTCTATTTCCTTAGGTTGAAATGGGGCAATTTGCCAATAATTAACAGCAGAGGGGTCATTCGTGTCTTATGTTCAAGGACAGAGACCACTTCAGAGTGCAAAACAGAAAAACATCTTGCAAACGCTGCAAATGTTCTTCTCCACCTACACTGTTCAAATAGGTAATTCCCCCTAAACTGAAGAATAATTCATTTATTCCAACTTAAAACATTAATATAGCCATAAAGAAAAGATACCAGACTTATTATGTAACTAAAAACGCATTAATTTTTTTTAAAAAAGAATAAAATATGTATCATATGCTAGGCTCTGAACATATTGCTTGGTTAATTCAGACTCTTCATTAATGGACATATTTCTTGATTATAGTATTATTATTTAGCTCAAAAATATTTGTCAATCAGGTATATTTTATTTAGTGTGTTGTGTATGGTTTAACACAGAAAACAGCATAAACCTTAATGAACCAAGTCCCATTCTAATTTAATCTGCCAATGAATAATTCTGTATGTATGTCAGAGAGTGGGTCAGCTACATCATCCACAATTCTGCATGTATGTCAGAGAGTGGGTCAGCTCCATCATCCACAATTCTGCATGTATGTCAGAGAGTAGGTCAGCTCCATCATCCACAATCTTGTATGTATGTCACAGGCAAGTGGGTCAGCTCCATCATCCACTCTGCAGCTCAAGATGATTAAGGTAATGCTAAAAAATTGGCACTGATATACTTCTGACCCTAAAAGTAACTCTTCTCATACCTTCACCCTCTATGTCACAGAATCTATGAGGATTTTTAATTTCTCTACATATTAGAGTTGCTGGAGAACTGTTAAAAATTCCAATGCTTACCTAAACTATAACTCAGACCAACAAGTCAGAACCTGTGGACTTAAGATCCAGGTATCAGTGCTTTCTAAGACTTCACATGTGATCAATTTTATTTATTGAATACATTTATTATTTATAAATTCATTTTTAAACATGTATTTTATGTGTTTGAGTGTTTTGATTGGATGTATGTCTGTGCACCATGTGAATGCCTGTCGCCTAAGGAGGTCAAAAGAGGGTGTTGGATCCACTGGAACTGGAGTTACAGATTGTTGTGAGCTTCCATGTGGGCACTGAAAATCAAACCCAGGTCCTCTGGAAGAACAGAAAGTGCCATAACTGCTGAGCCATCTGTCTATCCCATGAGCGGTTATTTTTAAAGCATGATTATAAAAACAAATGACCTATACTAGAAAATGAATGTGATGCATTCATAAAATGGAGTGAAATGCAGCTATTAAACCAATTTTGTGGAGCAATATTTAATGTAATGGAAAGATTCTCATAATGTATTCATTACTAATAGGAAACAGGAAAAAACAAATACACAGTATGGACATTATTTTTAGGCCATACCAGTTCTCTTTACTCTACTCAAAATAACTAGACTAAAACACAGCAATGATAGGCCACAGAATCTAAACAGTTTTCTAGATTGCAAGTAAATAAGACTCTCTTCCTTCCTCCCTCCCTCCTTCCCTCCTTTCCACTCCTTCCCTCTCCCCGCTCTTTCCCTCCCCCCTTGTTAAATAAAATAGCAATGAATGATTAAGTTAAGTAAACTGAGTACATTTTAGACTGTGCATAACATATCAAGTTTCCTGATACTTAAACAAAGGTTTAAATCACCAACAGTAGTTCAGATGCAAACATTTATCATAACACAACCAATGCTGATTTTTGAGCTTTTTGTGCTGCTCCATTTTATTTGTTTTCACTTTCTGCCATCAGACCACCTTGTGTTTCATCTTTTGAGGAATCTAATCACAGGCACAGACCCAGCTTGGGTACCCTCTAAGAAGGGGCTGGCTGTCCTTTCCAGCCATTTGTGAGATGGCAATGCCCTACTCTTGGATTTTACCCAAATACATGATGACAAGATCGCTGTGAAGAATGGTTGAAAAGCTTCATCATGAAGTGCTGGGCATAAAGAACTGAAATATAGTTTGATAGTTCAAACTCTACACAGCTCGCCCCAACTCAGACAATCAATTCCAAAGCCGGTCCAGAGTGTGGTGTCAAAGCAGGACTCCACACTTGCTGAATGGATAATGAATGCATTTATCCCATGACACGGGTTTAAAGTGGAAGAAGAGTTTCCGTTTGGTAAATTCCAGGTTGTATATGCTTTGAGATGTTTGCCTTGGTTTGGTTGCTTGGTTGGTCAATTATTTGGATGGTTGGTTGTGGAAAGCTGGCTCTGGAGTTTGTGGTCTTTCTACCTCAGCTTCCCTCAGATTATAGGTGTGCTCCACCATTCCTGGCCACTGTGAGATCTTCCTAACTTCACAAATCCTATTTCAAGTTTTATGCTAGTATGTGTGTAATCTGCAAGGCCAGGTGCACAGTTTTGTCATCTTTTCATGCTAAATAGATCATGTGTAATAAGATTTGGTAAATATTATATTTAAAACTGTGACTATGTCTGTAAATATACAAATGACTACAGAAAGCTAGTACATATCAAGACAGAGGCATGTTATACCATCCACCAAAGTCACTGGCATGCTTCTACACCTAAACCAGGAGGAACAGTCCAGATCAGCCCAGGGCCTGCTGGATTGGCATCATCCTTTCATCCCTCTCTTGCACTCTGCCTTGTGGTGTGACTCTCCGCAATTCCAAAGCATGTGACCAGACTGGCAACCCGGGGTCACAGAGGAGATGGCGACTGGGTTTGAATTTTGCCCCCTCACTTATCTGCTCCATGACTTTGTGTGAACTCTCTTAATCCCAACTGCAAACAAGCGTAAGCCCGTGTGTGTCATTGCTCAAAGCTCAGCCGCAAATGCTGAGCTCACACCAAATTCTTTTCCGTCACTCTACTTCCTAAGCCCAGGAAACCACGTGGAACCAAGATGGCCTGATAGACTGGACTTTGGTATAAGAAAGGTTCTAGCCTTGACTGTACCAGCTGTCAGCCAGGTGACATTAGGCAAGCAACTCAACCCAGGCTTTATTTTCAACAAAATCATCTATAACCTTATGATAAAACTAGTACCTTCTTAATGAATTAGGGTTAAACAAATGAGCAAGAATTAATGGCTCAGAATATGGCCTGGCACAGAGTAAAACTCAGTAGATGGGGGTTTATTTATCCATTCAACAAAAAAATGTGGAGTCTGTATCAAAGACTCCGTTCTCAGATGGGAAGAGTCAGCAAATAAGAGTCGGGCAGCATCACTGACTGAGACCACATCTCGCAGGTGTGCTGATGACTGCATCCACACTGCCGTGTTGTATGATGGATGCTGTGATATATGGAGGGAAAACTTTTCAGAGAGACCTGAAAAAAAAAGAAGTAAATAGGCTAAGTAAAGAGGCTAACTTCCAGGAATGTAAAGGGCAACAAAAGCAGGCCCATTGGTGATGGAGAGAACGGCATGTCTAAGGAATGGGGGGAAAGGCAGTGTCTATGAAACACAGAGTTCAGAAATGACAGAACTCAGCAGGACTGTGGCTCAGAGGTAGAGTGCTCACTTAGCTTCTAGCTCACTTAGCTGGGTGCAACTCCTCCATAACACAGAAGAAAGAAAGAAGGGATGAAACCCACCCTGCAGAAGGAATTTAAAATTTTTTAAACCTCCTTATTGTGCAAGCGTGTGTTTGTGTATGTGTGTATATGTGTGTGCATGTGTGCACATGTGCGCACATGCTAGAGAGAGAAAGAGAAAAAGAAGAGGCATATTATGACATTGGCACACACATGAGGCAGTCAGAAGACAATTTTGTAGACTCTTTTCTCTCCTTCCACTCTTACGTGGTACCCAGGGATTGAGCTCAGGTTGTTGGGCTCATGTGGCAAAGTGCCTTTACCCTATGAACCATCTCACCAACCTCATAGGGGGAGTTTGTTTGTTTGTTTGTTTTTATGAGGCTGGTAGAGGCCTTATCTCAAGGACCTTGTCATGTTTAAGATGATACACTTACGATAATTACACTTCATCTTAAGACAGTGGGAGTACTACAAAGCAAAGGTGATTAAAAAAATCATCTTTGGCCGGGCAGTGGTGGCGCATGCCTTTAATCCCAGCACTCGGGAGGCAGAGCCAGGCGGATCTCTGTGAGTTCGAGGCCAGCCTGGGCTACCAAGTGAGTTCCAGGAAAGGCACAAAACTACACAGAGAAACCCTGTCTCAAAAAAAAAAAAATCATCTTTGTATTGTGAAAATGTCTCCACTGTTGTCAAAGGAAACAAGACCAATTAAGAAACGACTGCAGCGTGCAGTCTAATAAGCCACATGGGTGAAAGTATTGCTGATGGGAACATGAATGAAGTAAAATAAAAAATGATGGATTCAGAAACGAAGTTCAAATACATACACTGAGTCTCAGAGAGAGACAGAGACAGAGAGTGATTTACCCAAATGGTCGTGGATAGTGCTTTGTGCGATCCAAGCTAGCTTTTTGCTCTCAGGAGTGCAATGGGCACAACACTCTGTTTTGCAGGGTGAAGAAGTTGACAGTGGGCATTGTCATATTGCTTCCTATCCCCAGAACTACAAGAAGGGGAAGGATAGTGGAATATCTCTAGCTTACAGGGGGTTACTCTAGCTGTGGGAGTGGATGAGAAACTGGGGTGAGGAGGTGAGCAGACCCAGAGACAGACAGCAAAATTTGCAAAAAGAGATAAAGATGAGCTTTGAACCACCGTGTGTATGCTGACTGCAAACAGTGCTAAACCCTGGGGGGTCATTGCTCAAAGCGGAGTCCTAAGTACAGAGTTCCTGGCAAATACTTTCTGTTGCTCTAATTCCTGTTTGGTTTACTTTGTCATAAATTCTTCAGTCTTCCTAGGTGCAATATGGCCCAGCAAACTGAACTTTGCCATCAAAAAGATTCTAATCTTGGTTGTGCCAATTATTAGCC